CTTGTATATCCTTCCAAAGATAGCCTATGTATATACAAGTACATTTATGTATATTTCCCCCCTTTTCTTACACAAATGGTAGCATGCTATACATAACTTTTTTATGTCTTCTTTAACTGAAGATGTATCCTAAAGTTTTTCCATATCTGTCTATAGAGTTTAACATTTTTTTCTTTTGGTGAGAACACTTACGTTCTATCCTCTTAGCAAATTTCAATTGCACAATACAGTATTACCAACTACAGTCACCATGTTATGCATTGGATCCTCAGAACTTACTCATAACTGAAAGTTAGTGGCTTTTAACCAACTTCTCTGTATTTCTTCACCTCTCAGCCCCTGGCAACCACCACTCCACCCTCTGTTACTATGAGTTTGACTTTTTTTTAAGATTGCACCTGTAAGTGATAATGTGCAGTATTTGTCTTTGTCTGCCTTATTTCACTTCACTCTAGTTTCATTCATGTTGTCACAAATGGTGGGATTTTCTTCTTTTTAAAAGCTGAATAATATCTAATTGTATAGTATGTATCATATAGTCTTTATCCATTCACCAGCCTGTGGACACTTAGCTTGTTTCCATGTCTTAGCTATTGTGAATAATGCCACAGTAAATATGGGAATACCGATAATTCTTCAACGTAATGATTTTGTTTCCTTTGGCTATATATCCAGAAGTGGGATTATATAGTTGTTCTATTTTTAATGTCTTGAGGAACCTCCATATTGTTTTCCATAGTGGCTCTACCAGTTTATGTTCCAGCAAATAGTATACAAGAGTTTCTTTTCTCCACATCCTTGCTAGCATTTGTTATATCCTGTCTCTTTGATAATAGACATCTTAACAGGTATGAAATAATATTTCATTGTGGTTTTGATTTGTATGTTCCTGATGATTAGTGATTTTGAGCACTTTTTCATGTACCTGTTGGCCATTTTTATATCTTCTTTAAAAAAAAGTCTATTCAGGTCCTTTATTTTTAAATAATTGGGTTATATGTTTTGTTTTGTTTTTTTGCAATGAGTGGTATGAGTTCCTTACATATTTTGGATGTTAACCACTTGTCTAATACGTGTTTACAAATATTTTATCCCATTCCATAGGTTGTCTTTTCCTTTTGTTGATGGTTTCCTTTGCGGTGCAGGATCTTTGTAGTTTGCTGTAGTTCCACTTGTTTATTTTTACTTTTGTTGCCAGCGCTTTTGGTGTCAAACCCCCAAAAATCACTGCCAAGGAGCTTACCCCCTATATTTTCTTCTAGGAGTTTGCTGGTTTCAGGTTTTACACTCAAGCCTTCAATCCATTTTGAGTTGATTTTTGTGGGTGGTATAAGACAGGTACAAGTTTCATTCTTTTGCATATAGCTATCCAGTTTTCTCAATACCATTTATTGAAAAAACTATTCTTTCCATTGTATATTTTTGAGTCCTTTGTCATAAATTAATTGACCATATGTGCTAGGGTTTATTGATGGGATGTCTATTTTGTTCCATTGGTTTACATGTTTTTATTTTTTATTATTATTTTTCATTTTTAATCCTCACCCAAGGATATATTTATTGATTTTAGAGAGTGGGGCGTGGGGAGAGAGAAAACCACATCGATGTGAGAGAGAAACATTATCAGTTGCCTCCTGCATGCGTCCCAACCAAGGATCAAACTCACAGCCTAGGCCTGTGCCCTCACTGTGGATCAAACCTACAGCCTTTTGGTATACAGGATGATGCTCCAACCAACTGCACCCCTCAGCCAGAGTGGTTTATATGTTTTTATGCTGGTACAATACTGTTTTGATTACCATGGCTTTATAATACACAGTTGGTCCTCTGTATCCATGGATTTTACATGTGGATTCAACCAATCACAGATCAAATATATTTTTAAAAAATTACAGGAAGTTGATCCCTAAACAATGCAGTGTAACATTTATGTAGCATTTACATTGTATTAGGTATTATAAGTAATCTAGAGATGATTTAAAGTATGTGGGAAGATGTAGGTAGGTTATATACAAATACTACACCATTTTATATAAGGGATTTTGGCATCCTAGCACTTAATATGTGCCTTACATTTTCTAAGCTTCCGACCTTATCTTGCTGATTGTATTTTATTATGGGTATGGAAAACAAGGTGACCCGGAAGCCCCCTGAATGTTCCCAAAGCCAATTTAACAGGAGTGTGAGCTCAACCCCATTTCAGTCCTTGGTTCCCACTAGTAATGATGTGGAACTGGCAAGTCCATGGACATGTGCAGCTCGTCCTGGACGGGGACCGGCCAGGAGCAGGTCTGCCTCACACCAGCCTGTAGTGCCTGGGTTCTCCACTTTGTCTAGGGGAAGATTTCACAACGTGAGTCCCGGTGATTTTGAGAGTATGTTTATTAAGGCTGGGACAGTGAAACAAAGGAAGGACTTAGGGTAAAAGAAGCAGCAGGAGAGAGCCTAGGCAGGGTTGCTGTTAGCTCACCGGCAACTCACAGAAAAAGGGAGCCTTGGAGACAGGATCAGGTTATAAGCCTGGGCCTAGCTGCCTCTGCCCACTGCTCCTTCGGTTGCAAGTCTGGTGGGGACCCTTAAATGCCTAGGACGAAATAAAAAGTTCATGCCCGAGAAGGGACACAGACATGCTTCAGACATGTGAAAGCACGCTGCACATGCTTTCCAGTTGTGTTTTTAATATGCTGATGCATTAAAATGAGCGTAAAGGAAGATTAGATCTTGCAGTTTCACTAACTGACTGGCTTTCAGTTGTTCAAATTGTTTGGCCTTGGTTAATTATCTTGTCTCAATTTCACTGTTCCACTTGCCCAGGAATTTGCTTAGCTTCTTAGTATCTTGCCTCACTACCATGTGATTTATTAACTCCATTGACCTGAGCAGATCCCAAAGAGAGGCCACCAGCCTGCAGGACTCCAGAAGTCACAAACCAATAAGCTGCGGTTGTGTGCTGCTGACACCTCTCCCTGCTTATCTCTCTAGTTTATTCAGATCTCTTACTACTGCTAGGCTAGTCTGTCTCATCTCTAGGGTCCTACAGTATAACCTGCTTCTGTTGCTGAAATGAGATTTGTCTCTCTGCTTCCTTGAATTTACTATGTCATCATACAGTTAAGTCCTCACTTAACATCATTAATAGGTTTTTCACCTTTAAGAGAAGCAACATATAATGAAACCAGTTTTACCATAGACTAATTAATATAAACAAGAGTTAGGTTCCTATAGCATCTTATCAACATTGGAACTAAACGATGTCATTTGAGGACATGCTGTGCTACAGAGAGGCTTGGTATTCTATGCAACTCTAGTGGGCAAGGTAGGCTAACTGTTGTAATAAACAAGTCCAAAAATCATTAGTTGCTAGACATAGGTTTATGTATAACTCACAACACAGTCCGTTCTGTTTAGGAGGGTGCTGCAGGTGAGAGCGGGAGGGACATCTGTTCCATGCAGTCATTCAAGTCATTCAAGGACACAAGCTCCTGCCATATGGTGGCTCCACCCTCCTCGAGATCCACCAAGTCTGTTTGTTCAGCTAGTAGATACGGAAAGAGAAAATTGAGAGGCATATCTGCTCTCGGTCGCCTTGGCTCAGAAGTCACACCTATCACTTCGCTCCCATTTTACTGGCAAGCCCTAGGACCTCACCTGGAAGACGATGGGCTAGGAAATATGCTCTTTCTGTGTGCCCAAAAAGGAGAGAATATAGATATGAGACCAATGGAGACTGAACCACGGTAACCTCGTGTGGTGCCTGGGTAGTCCTTCCTTCAAAATAATTCACAAGCTAGGCAGTTCTCCTCCAAATGTGTGCAAACTACACACTCCTGAAGTAAGGGGTTTTCCTTCTGTTCTATAGACACCATTTAGTTTTGCATTGACCTTACTGATGTCATACTGGCTTTGTCCTTTTAATTCTTGGGTGGGGGGGGGCGGGGAGAGAGAGAGAGAGAGAGAGAGTGTGTGTGTGTGTGTGTGTGAGAGAGAGAGAGAGAGAAAGAGAGAGAGAGTGTGTGTGTGTGTGTGTGTGTGTGAGAGAGAGAGAGGGACTGACTCTGTTTCCCTCAGATCATTAGGCCTGCATAGCCCTAAGATATTACTTGAGTTTGTACATGTAGGTGTATTTTAAGGGCCTTTTTACTGTGCATTCTTTTGCTCTGTAACACACTGAATCTCCACAGTAGCCCTATGTGGTCAGTATTATTATTGTCTCCATTTTCGAGGTGAGGAATCCAAGGTACGGAGAGTGAAGCGGCTTCCCACCAAGTGAGTGGCTGAGCCAGGACTCGGACCAACAGGTTTCTGACCTCAGGCCTGCATGCTGAGTCATTGTGTCACTCAGCATTTCTTTCTGGAACTGCCTAGGGGCAGCCGTCTCTTCCATCTCCATCTCTGCCTACCCCAGACATGTCCTTCCTCTCATGGGTTCCCAGGGTAGTGAAAAATAAAATGCAAGAATAATCAGTATTAAATGGATATGCAATTTTAACTATACTGGCATGAAATTAGAGAAATAAGAATGGAAGATCTTGACAAAGACATTTCAGGAAACTAAATAGTCCTTTTTAGAGGGTTTGGGATGTGCAGAAAAGACAGAGCTTTTAGAAATTACATCAAGTATTTACAATGTATTTACATTGGAACTTATTTTTTGTCAATGTGTCAAGTCTTGCTTTTTTGCATCTGTTTTAAGAGCCTGTGTCTGTAGCTGCTGAGCTGACTTAATGGACTTGCGTACTTGGTGATGTACTGGCACATTGTAAATCTAACTAAACATCTGAAGGCTTGGTTGGGTGTACCAGGGTTTCATTACTCACAGAAATGAGAAAAGAATCCAAGAGATCATTAACAGATACAACCAAAGAATGGTGTACTGGAGAAAATACTTAAGACTCTAGGAGATACCCAGCCTAGAACTGAAATTTCTGGTTTGCTATGTGCTGATTTTTATCCCTGGATTTTTAAAAGCCTTTACCATTCTCTACCTTCTCTTTCTTTAGGTTTGACTTGCACTAATCTGGGCCTTCGGTCCAGGATGGTTTGTTCTTGGGACCAGACCTGACCGGAAGTTGACCTCATGAGCACATCAGCCTCTCCAGTTGCCATGCTGCTCCGGAGGCTCAGGCGGCTCTCCTGGGGCAGCACCGCTGTCCAGCTCTTTATCCTAACGGTGGTGACATTTGGCCTGCTGGCCCCCCTGGCCTGTCACCGGCTTCTACACTCTTACTTCTACCTTCGCCATTGGCATCTGAACCAAATGAGCCAAGAGTTCCTGCAGCAAAGCTTGAAGGAGGGGGAGGCGGCCCTTCACTACTTTGAGGAGCTGCCCTCCGCCAACGGCTCAGTGCCCATCGTCTGGCAGGCCACCCCCCGACCCTGGCTGGTCATCACCATCGTCACTGTGGACAGGCAGCCTGGCTTCCACTACGTCTTGCAGGTGGTGTCCCAGTTCCACCGGCTTCTCCAGCAGTGCGGCCCCCAGTGCGAGGGGCACCAGCTCTTCCTGTGCAACGTGGAGCGCAGTGTGAGCCACGTGGATGCCAAGCTGCTGTCCAAGTATGTCCCCGTGGCCAACCGCTACGAGGGCACTGAGGATGATTACGGCGACGACCCTTCCACCAACTCGTTTGAGAAAGAGAAGCAGGACTATGTCTATTGCCTGGAGTCGTCCCTGCAGACCTACAACCCAGATTATGTCCTGATGGTGGAAGACGACGCCATTCCAGAAGAGCAGATCTTCCCAGTCTTGGAGCACCTTCTGCGGGCTCGCCTCTCCGAGCCGCACCTCCGAGATGCCCTTTATCTAAAGCTCTATCATCCCGAGAGGCTGCAGCACTATATCAACCCGGAGCCCATGCGGATCCTGGAGTGGGTTGGTGTGGGCATGTTGCTGGGGCCCTTGCTAACCTGGATATACATGCGCTTTGCCAGCCGTCCGGGGTTTAGCTGGCCCGTCATGCTGTTCTTCTCCCTGTATAGCATGGGTCTGGTGGAACTGGTGGGCCGGCACTACTTCCTGGAACTGCGGCGGCTGAGCCCTTCCCTGTACAGCGTGGTCCCGGCTTCGCAGTGTTGCACGCCGGCCATGCTCTTTCCTGCCCCCGCGGCCCGCCGGACCCTCACCTACCTGTCCCAGGTGTACTGCCACCAGGGCTTTGGCAAGGACATGGCACTGTACTCACTGTTGAGGGCCAAGGGGGAGCGGGCCTACGTGGTAGAACCCAACCTCGTTAAACACATCGGGCTCTTCTCCAGCCTTCGGTACAACTTTCACCCCAGTCTGCTCTAGCAGGCCAAGAAATGCCTCTCTGAAATGGGCTGCTGCTTAGAGATTCAAATACTGAGCTCTATATCTCGACACGGTTGCCTGCGAATGAATTGCTGTTTAACATTGCTGGGGATGGGACAGCAGAGGAACAGGCTAGTCAAGAATCTCGGCTGGAGGAGTTGGCCACAGATCTGGACCCGTCCCTCCGCACAGCCACGCTGCCTCGGGCAGCTGGATCCACACAACGAGGAGGCATTTAAATACCAGTTATATTCTCTAGTTGTATTCAGCTCTGCTTCCTGGTAGAGGTTGTGACTGCCAAAAATACTGTGCGCAATGGTACACCTGTTTGAGGATTTAAGGGTAGAATTTGATGAAAGGTGAGATCCTTTTGAACTGACTTCTTTCTCATTGGGCCTGAGAATGGATGTGTTTAGAATATATGTCTCAAGAGACAGTACCTTGTTGATCAGTTCCACTTGTTTCCTTGAGCTGGTGTAATGAAAACTAATAAATGCCGTGCAGCACCTGGCAGCTTGGAGGAAGGTGACCTGGCTCCTGCTACCTGCCTGTCTCTTTCCTGCAGTGTAGTGCACTGATGATCAGTATTGGTAGTGAGAACTTTAAGGCACAGCAAAATTTGAAAGCACCTTACAGGTCGTCAAAGTCAGATTGCTTATGTTTATTAGTGATTTAATATTGAATATTTCAGTCATATTCTGATTATTTGAAAACTGGACATTGCAGAATGATATTGAATGGGTGAGCTCTTTGCTAACTGTATATCCCTTTTCCTAACTTTGCTGGCTAATCATTCACCCTCATTTCTTTTTCTTCTAAGTAGCATGATGTTATAGAAGGAAAAAAACATGGACTCTGAAGTCAGAAGACCTGAATTGTTATTTCGGATCTCTCTCATGTCCTAATGGTGTGAACTAGGGCAGGTCATAACCACTCTGAGTCTCAGTTTCTTCACCTGTAAAATGGGGACAGTGGGACCTACCTTTAAAAGTTGCCTTGAGGTTTAAATGACAGGATGTATGCAAAACACCTAATAAGTACTTGGCCCAGAGAGGAGGGCACTTGGCAAATTTTGGTTCTTTTTCTCTCCTGTAATAAGCATATAAAACTTAAGTGTATTTTGGATAAAGATAATGATATTGTTTAGAGCAGGGGTCTCCAACCCCTGGCCATGGACCAGTGCCGGTCTGCGGCCTGATAGGAACCAGGCCGTGTAGCAGGCGGCGGGCGAGTGAGCAAAGCATCACTTGCATTACCGCCTGTGCTCCACCTCCTGTCCTCACCCCGCTCCTGGTCCATGGGAAAATTGTCTTCCAAGAAACCAGTCTCTGGTGCCAAAAAGATTGGGGAAGGCTAGTTTGGAGGATAAGATAGAACACAGCGGACGCCCATGAAGCAGCTGTTCCAGACCAACCACTGCTAGAATAAACATTGACTTGTCATTGTGACTTCTGAAGGGTATACAGCTCCACCCAAGCCAGACATAACTTTTCATTCAAACTGGGAGTGATCTGAGACTCCTCTGGAGTTTATTCTGAGACTATCATCTAAATATTACTTTTCTTGAATGTTACAAATAACTGGCCTTTGACGATACTTATCAGACCAGCGGACAAGTCCCTTCATGAGGACGGATGGTTGTATTGAGTTCAAACACTTGTCCGTTTTGGTTCACAGGCACATCTTCTGTTTGCTTTTACATTTCCATGGTGAGCTTCCATTTGGGGATCCACTCTAGAACACAGAGGGAGTATACAGGAGTTGGGGGGAGGTACAGAGGGTAGTATCCCACTTTACAGATGAACAGACTGAGACCCAGAGGTGTTAGATACCTTCTCCAGGCTCACACAGCTGAATAGGCTGAGACAGCTCTTCTGACTTCCAGCTTTTTTCTTAACCACATTCATTTTATAAATACCTATGTAGTCAAATTCTCTTTTGTAAAATCTGATTGTAACCTGGACTGAGTAATGTTTCTGTAAACTAAGATGTGAGAAATGCATTGTCATGTGAGTCTTGGGGAACAAACAGGTCTCAGTGTGTGTTGTGTTGTTATAGCCATCCGTTAGGTATCCCCCAGGAATGTCTAAAGTGATCAGAGCTAGTAGATGACTTACTAAGGTGTTCAGATTCCACACCTCTATTTCTCCTCATCCAGCAACTGGTCCACTCCCATGTTTGAGAACAGAACCACCCTCAGCCTAGACTTACTAGAATTTGTTGCATTAATGATTGGCTCCCCTCATGAAATTTTTTTTTTGGTCCAGTGACAGGGTAGCCACATCTAAGCTACTCAGCCTCCAGATAGGGAGTCACTGTTGTTTTACATTTCTGCCCTTTCTAATTCAGTTGTCTACTGCATGCGCACCTCCCCTCCCCAGCTCCTTCATTTTGGATGGCCAAGGCCATCTTTGCCTTGTCTAATTTTTCTACCGACATACCAAGATGTCTTCTCCCATGGATCTAAACTCGAGTCTGCCATCCTTGGACATTTTCTGCAGCCCAGTGCTGCCCTTTTATCTCTACCCACCCCTAGATTTTCCTCCCTTTGTCCCTCGTTCCTAGAGTCCAGTTTTCGTATATTGTCCTTGATGAGGACAGCTGACAGCTTCACACCAAAGCTGAAGTCTCCTGTTTATTCCTAAACAAGGGGACTAGAAGAGAACTCCAGTCCCCTTCCCACACCAAGGGACATAGGTCACCAGGTGAGTGAAGGTTCAAAGTTTAAATTATAGGCAGGCCTAAGAAGGTCTCATTTGTGACTGATTGTATTTGCATAGACATATCACTGAAAATAAAAGCACCCATTCCACTGAGGTGTCCTGAGAAGACTTTTGTTGTTCTCTTTTATTCATTCCTTTGGGATGGATTTTTGGATGTGGCAAACAGTTTAAAACACAAACATACACAAATACCCAGCACCCCACCCCACCGTTTTGGAGTCCCAGAGCACCACTCAAAAGTATGAGCTGTTCACTTAAAAATTGATAACTGCATTCCTTAAATGGAAACATTTGAAGTGTGCTTTCTTTTTTATTGTTGTATTCGTTTAAAAAAAATGGTGAGAATATTGCAGTGTAACCGGAGAATACAGGTAGGATTTATAAAATGATAGGATTAATCTTCTTTCCCTTGGATACACTTCTCATTTGGGAGAATTTATTTAATTGGTAACTTCATTTGGGTGGAGAGGCATTCTAATTGGAGTTGATCACTGTGGGATTTTTAGAGACACTAAGATTCATCATGAGTTGCTGTAACATATGCTATAACATTGGGTAATTTTAAGTCACACAAACAATTTGGATCTTTTTACCCTTACCACAGTGATCTTGCTGATAAAAGCTCATTAATTGGCACTGTTTTTTCAATTTTATTTGGAAAACCCTTGGGGCTGTGTCGAAGACAGTTGAAATTGAATAGTGCTAATGGCAAAAAGAGTACTTAATATTATATTAGAGCTGTGGCTGGCGGGTCACCCCAATACTTGGGTGATGTACAACATGAGTCATTGCTTTGTGCTGAATGGGGATTTTGGGTTTAGAATGGAACAAATTATCTTGACCTTTTCCCTAATGACCTACACAGAAATGTGACAAATGAACTGATTTTTAAAAAGCATCTATGTTCAACCTTTGAGGGTAAGAACAGATGAAAATCCAAAAGCAAATGATAAATTTATCAAAAATAAACAAGGAACAGGTGGCATAGGAATGTGGGAATGAGGTAGCTTTCCTGTGTCAGAGAGATGGGAGAAGAGGACAATGATCAGAGTGAAGCAGAAAGTCTCACATTTGTTCTTGTGTGTCCCAAACTCCCTTATACAATAAATCTTTGATGTGTGTTCGGCTGTCATGAAATCCTTTTAGACCAGTCTGTGGAGAATGCAAATGAACTAAACTATGGATAGTCAATGTTCTGGGTAAATAATTCATTACCTTGCTAAGACCTGGCTTCATATTGCATTTACAATAAAACTCAAACCCCTACATTTCCTCCCAGGCCAGATGTGATCTGGCCCCTGCAAACTCTGGGACTTCATGTCTTATCACCCCCCAAGCTCTAAATACACCCGCTTTCTTTCCCGCTTTCTTTCGGTCCTTGTACTTGCTTCACTGGTTCTTACTGCAAGGCCTTTCTCTGAACTGTTTTAAACTGACCCCCCAAGACTTTCTCTCCATTTATCTGAAGCAGCCTTCCCCCGTACCTACCCCCAAACCCATTTATCACATTACCTGGTTTGATTCCCTTCAAAGCTCTTGTCATTATGTGAAATCCTCTCATTTATTACTTTGGGTTTTTTCCACCTCCATCTCCTGCCACAGAATAGAAGGTCCCTAATATCAGGGGTCTTCACGTTTTATTTCATTCATCCCCAGGTCCTAGAGCAGTTCATGACACATAGTAGGAAATGATGAGAAAGAAGAGGTGTTTACAGTTGGGACTGTTACCCAGCTTCAGGCGTTCACTGCTTCAGGTGCTCTATTCAAGAACAAGACTTGGTCGTGGCGAGGTGGTTTTATTTGCTTACAGCAAGTAAAGGAGATGAGATTCCTATCCCAAGCTCAGCCTCCTCCCCAGAGAGCTTTAGCCAGTGCTTAGTATACTCTTTGGTCAGTTACATGTTGATTTCTTTACAGTTGGCTACTTTTATTGAATTCCTATCAGCTCATCCTGTTTGCTGCATCTGGGAAATACTGTGCTGTGTTTTAACATTTAGCAAGAAATAACATTTAGAACCTCCAGATCTTGAGACCCTTGTGCTACCTAACAGGACTGCCCACAAAGAAGAATACTAGAAAAAGGGAAATGGGACTAGGGAAGAAAGTTAGAAGCAGAGAAACAGGTAGTGAGGGTTGGTTCTGATGTACAATTTGACCCAGTAAAAAGCTTTCTGCATGCATTCCAGATAGATCGAGTGGTGAGTGCAAAAAGGAACTTCCTACATCACCACATGGCTACTTCTTCCTTTGTTGTTACAGTTTTGTGTCCAGTGGAGGTGTGTGTGTTGCAGGGGTTGGGGTTGGTCCCTCAAGAGAAGGCTGCCTTTTCTCCTTCCGGGCTGCCACAGCTGCATCTCCCTGGGAATCACCTGAACGTGACCACCACCCACAGTTGGCACCACAGCCCATGCTAGCACTTTTGGGTGAAGGGGCTGGAAAGTGAAGGAATGATAACCACACTGTACCCATGAGTTCTTCTCAAGTTACATGGGTGATAACGCTTACCCCTGACCATGGAGCTCTGAGTGCTGCGGGTGGCCTTTGTCAAACACATGATTTACAAATCCAAGGGGTGCCCTGGCTACCAGTTTGGCCTGGCGGAGTGTCATTCCACCAAAGCAAGAGGTCACCAGTTAGATTCCCAGTCAGGGCATGTGTCAGCTGTGGGCCAGGTCCCCAGTCAGGATATGTGCAAGAGGCAACCAGTGGATGTTTCTTTCTCGCCTTGATTTTTCTCTCCCTTTTTTTCTCCCTTCCCTTCTCTCTAAAAATAAATAAAATCTAAATCGAAAAAAAGAATAAGTAAACATTCTCAGAAACGAAATGGGCAGGACAGAAAACTTTCTTTAAGGATTTTTCTGTTACGTGATTTTTGGCATCTGATTTTTATTAGTGTAGCTTTGTTTAAATGTGAACGAGTTGAGTCCTCTGCAAAATGCATGTGCTGGCAACACACTAGACAAAGACGTGCCCCACCCTAGTTTGTTTTTATCTGGAAAACAGCATAAGCCTTGGCATTGCCGTGACCTGGGACCTGTTACTTGTACGCAGCAGCCCATACTTTTAAAACACACGTTAACGAGTCTATAGATTTCCTTCCTGCTACGTGTTTGGGCAGTTCCCCTGGTCCTTCTCAACCCTTTTCAACTCCGACCCATCCAGAATCCATAGCCAGCTGGGGTTCAGCAAAAGAAATTGCATCTTGTCTAGCTCCCCCTCCAATGAGGTTTATGATGAAGAAGTCAGGGTTTCATCTTCTTCCTGGAATCTACGAATGGAGTAGTCGTTCACATTTGTACAAATACAAAAACAACAACAACAACAACAAAAAATCTAAATGTAAAAAGTTACTAAGAATAGTGTGTGTCATATTCAAAATCATAATTTGTGTGTTTTTCCGCAAGGAACTACGTCAAACAAATCATTCCTAAGCCTACATTTAGTGGTTTATCCCTATCTTAATAAATGCCTAAATCGTATTAGCCATAGTCAGGAGACTCAAGCTTTTTTAAAAAATGTCTAGCTGAACTATTAACTAAAATGCTCCAATACGCAGAAACACACTTCCCTACTTGAACAAAATGCTTTGAAGAGATTAGAATCACATTATCTTCCATTTTACCAGTTAACATCAGAGAAGGAAAACCGTTTCAGTTAAATTAACCTCTTACCGTCACCCTTAAACTTTAATTCTTACACTAAGGAAAACAATGAAAGTCACAATTGCATGTCAGGAGTCCTTTAGACAAATAACATTTGATCTACAAAAGGCACCAGGCATTACGTCCCACGTGTCAACGTACGTTTACCGAGCGCCTACTGGGGGACGGGCACAGTGCGGAGGGCCAGCGACATCAAGGCGAGCGGACGTAAGACCTGCTTTCTTCTGTGAACTGAAAGGGCTGCTTTGACAAGTCTGACAGGCTTCAATAACTACAAGTAACCACATGGGATGTTTTGGTCATTGAAAAAAAAATCCTAATTAAGTGACAGTGAAAGTCACATCCTAAGGTCTATATGATAGATGAATCTCTACCATAACAAGCTCTGTCCATTGCTTCTGTGCATCAGAATAACATACTTAAAATGTCACAGCGATCTCTCCTCCAGACCCTGGTACAGGGCAACACAACTCCAACATTCCTCATCTTTTACCCACATATCTTTGTAAACTATATACATGAACTGTTAACTGCCCGGCACCCACCAATGTAAAAGAAGTATGTACTTCTGTTTTACTTTATATCCAACCCTGAAGATTCCCCCCTTCTGAATCTGCCACCAATAGATTTCATGTAACCTTTCTCATGTCTTCTCCTTTGATTCTAATGTATAAAGTCAACTGCAGAACTACTGTTTTCCGGGGCATTATCTCAGTCCGAGATTTTGCTCCTGGGACTATCCCCCAGACCCTTGGCTCATAATAAACCCTTTAAACCTCTTGTTAGGTTTGGAACTCCTTTCCTCAGCACTTCCTTCTAGGACCTCGGTATCTGGTGGAGGAGATAGGACTGTGAGGTAAGTCCTAGAAGGCAGGGTCACAGGGTGTCATCTCTAAGCGGCCCCGAAGTACCAGAACTCTAAGCCACTCCAACTTTCTCAACTCCTCTGCAACCTCTTCCTGGGGACAACATGGCTCCCCAAAGAAGCCTCCAGCTAACAAAGGAAATGATTGCCACATCATTTATTTACAGAAATAGGTGGGGGTTAAAGGGTAGTTAGCCTGTCCCAGCCGAACATAAACATAAAGAGGAACATAAAGAGTAAGCTGGCTCTTGGAGCAGGTGGTTTGGGGAGAAGAGAGAGCTTTTGATGCAAGAGGAGGATCCAGAAAATTATCTATGAACTTATTAAAGGTTCTTTGTTTTTCTTGCATTTCCAGAAAAGCAAGCCTCTTAATGTCATGTTTTCTAATCGAAATTAGGAGAAGAGATGTGACATCTTTTTCTGAAACTGAATTTAAAACATTTATTGGGGGGGGGGCAGAAATGAGAGAGAGAGATCTCCAGAGAACTTTGCTTGCCCAAGGATGACATGCCACTTGCCATATCTTTCTCAAAAAAGAACCAAGAAAAGCCAAACACATTTTTTGCCCATCCCATCTGCTA